TAGCTTAACCAGCAAGAAGAGCAGCAGAGCGACGTCGTCATCCGCTCGTCGCTCGGTCGTCGCACAGTCTGGCAAGAGAATGTTCGACGATCCGTTCGACTACGGCGAGGATCCGGACCTGGAGTACGGCGATCTGCTGTCGTCCGGCAAGCAAGACGCCGTCGACCCCCGTCCCCCCACCGACACCTCCTCCGACGCCGGCTGGCTCAAGTTTCCGCCTGGCCACAACCCGGAAATAGCATCTCTCGGATTGTACATTCGCGACGATGTGCGAAGCTGCGCGATTCTTGTCGCCGGCGGCGTGTACGAGAATCTTCTGTTCTTCCCGGTGATCTCGCTGCTCAAGGAGAAGTACCCCGGCGTGAAGATCGACGTGGCGGCTCCGCCACGTGGCAAGCAGACGTACGAGATCAACAAGAACGTACGGCGCGCGTGGGTGTACGATCCCGAGGATCCGTTCGTGACTCCCGCCGAGTACACCGAGTTCCTGGGCAAGCTCAAGGTGAGAATGTTCCCTAATCGGCTGGTTGCAGCGAATCCAGAGAGTGATGTGTCAGTGGTGATTCTTCACATGTTCTGCCCCCTGCTGCTAGCTGCTTCCTGCATTCTGTGTTTGCTGCGAGTTCAATCAGGGGTCTCCAACCTCATGGCTGCGCCTCGCGAGTTGTCGCTCCTCACTGCATTGGCCCGTCCCCGTCCCCGTCCCCGTTCCTGCCCCCGTCCCCATCCTCTCAATCCACCTCCAGGATCCCCTCTCCAGATACCCTTCCCGTCTCCCTCCACCCTTCTCACCCCCTTTTCCCGCGCCGATCGCGTCGGTCCCAGGCTGTCCCAGCACGAGCTGTACCATCTAGTGCTGTCTCCCAGCACGAGCTGTACCATCTAGTGCTGTCTCCCAGCACGAGCTGTACCATCTAGTGCTGTCTCCCAGCACGAGCTGTACCATCTAGTGCTGTCGGCCAGACGGCCGGTCTGCAATTTCCTCTCCTCACCCTCTCCTCTCCACACCCCCCGCGCTTGTTCTACCCTCTCAGAACGAGGTGTACGACTTGGTTCTATCCACCAGACTGGCGGGGCTCGGCCTCACCATGTTCCTCTTCCCCTCCGTCGCCCGCAACCGCGCCTCACTCACGCGTCTCCCCTCTCCCCCACTTCCCCTGGCTTCCTTCCCCTTTTCCCCTTCCTCTCCTCCCCCCCCCCAAGAACGAGGTGTACGACTTGGTGCTATCCGCCAGACTGGCGGGGCTCGGCCTCACCATGTTCCCCTTCTCCGGCGCCCAGCGCGCCCCACTCAAGCGTCTCCCCTCTTCCCCATTCCCCTATCCCCCCATTCCCTCTCCCCCATTCCCCTATCCCCCCAGTCCCCGCTTACCTCCCGTCTCAGAACGAGGTGTACGACTTGGTGCTCTCTGCCACACTGGTCGGCCTGGGCCACGTCATGTTCCTCTTCCCCTCCGTCGCCCCACTGATCCCTTCCTCCCGTCCCCCTGCCCCCTCCTGTCCCCTGGCCTCCTCTTCCCCCCCCTCCCTTCCTCCTCCCCCAGTACGAGGTGTACGACTTGGTGTTGTCGACGAGACTGGCGGGGCTGGGCCACGCCATGTTCCTCTTCCCCTCCGACGGCCCAATGATCGCTTCCACCCGTCCCGTTGTCCACCCCCCTGTTCTTCCTCCCCCCCAGAACGAGGTGTACGACTTGGTGCTATCCACCAGACTGGCGGGGCTGGGCCACGCCATGTTCCTGTTTCTCTCCGACGCCCGCCAGCGCGTGTCGTACGTCAACCCCAACGCCAGTGGCGCCGGTGCGGGCGTGTTCCTCTCCAACGCCGTGCGCACGGAGAAGGAGAACCTCGCGGAGGACGGCTACGCCATGTGAGTGCATTGGCGCGCCTTAGAATGCGGCGCGTGAGTGGTTTGATGCGCCTTAGTATAGGACGGCTATGGCATATGAGTGCGAGGAATCACCACAGGATGGGAAGGCTGCAGTGCGCGAGGGAATGTGAGATGTCGCAGCAGAGGGACAGGGACAAGAGGGACAGAGGCGTATTCCTCTCAAGCGTCGTCCGCGCGGACGGCTCGGCTACGGCATGCGAGTGCGAGGATCGATGGGTAGGTGGTGGACTTGAGAGGGGTGCGTAGGCGTGTGTGGAGGTGCCTCAGAGTTCCCGCGCACGGAGAACGCGAACCCACCTCGCGAAGGACGGCTACAGCATGTGAGTAGCTTGAGCGCCTGACGATAGGACGGCTGTAGCATGTCAGTGGATCCGCAGGCCGTGGGTGCGGAAAGCTGGCGGAGGCGGGGGAGAGTGAAGGGGGACGCGGAGGCGGCGATGGGGGAGGACGTAGATGCGCGGGAGGGAAGGGTCAGGGGAGGTAGATTCGATGAGGCCGAGGCACAAGGGGAGGATAAGGTCGCGACAGAAGGGGCTAGTGGCGGACTCGAGTGCGAGTGTCGAGCAGGGGCAGGCAGGGTGATCGGCGCTCGCCTCTCGTGTAAGAGACAGCTGGTCACAGGCCGAAGAAGGGCCGAAGAGCTCAGTTCAAGTCACGCATTCGAGTCGAAAGAGGGATAGGGCCGAGCCACACTCGAAGAGGGAATGAGCGTGGCGGTGATCTGCCCGCACAGCGCTTCGCCTGGGGGAATGAGCATGGCGCTGTCGATTCCCCCTGGAGCCACAGCCCCGCCGCCCCGGCCTCTAACTGACAGGCTCTCAGAAGGCTTCCCCCCCACCGCTTCCTCCCCCACCCTCCCATCCCCGCCCCCACCCCCGCCTGCCAGGTACAAGGACCTGATCGAGTTCCTCCTGCAGCCGGTCCGTGGGGGCCCGGCGCTCTACCTGCCGCCGCTGCAGGTGAACATCCCGCGCAAGGTCAAGGACGTCACCCGGGGGAAGACCGCCGCAGCAGGGGTGGCGCCGGGCGCGTACACGCTGGTGCACGGCGTGGAGTCGTCGTCCGCCGCGTCCATGCGGTCGCGCGGGGACGCGGACAGCGCGCTATCCCTGGGGCTGCTAGCGGAGATCGCCAAGAGTGTCAGGTACGGGCAAACTGACGGTCTGTCTGTCTGTCTGTCTGTCTGTCTGTCTGTCTGTCTGTCTGTCTGTCTGTCTGTCTGTCTGTCTGTCTGTCTGTTTGTCTGTCTGTCTGTCTGTCTCTGTCGGTATTTCTCTCAAAGAGCCTCGAGATCTGTTGCGTTTTCGATCTGTGACCTGTTGCGTTTTCGAGCCTCGAGACCTGTTGCGTCAACTGATCAGCCAGGGTGCATGGCGTTGTGTGCAGTCACTGCCCCTCTGCCCTCCTCAATTCAGCTACCCTCTCTCCTCCCTCTTCTCTCCTCCCTCTGCTCCCCTCTCTCCCCCCAGCGGCGACCTACTGGTGGTGGTCCCCAACGACGCGGATCAAGACAAGGTGCAGGGCGCTGTGCCCTCGGCCAAGATCGTCAAGATCACCACGCCAGGCCAGGTACGCCATGCATGCACAAGGTATGGAGGAGTGCATGGGGGCACAGAGGTGTGCACAGGGTTGTGGAGGTAGATAGATACAGAGCGCTGTGCCCTCAACTAAGCTCGTCAAGATCGGAGGGCCAGGTGTGGCATGGGATGCATGCAAGCGCATGGGGGTGTGCACATGTGCACGGGGTATGCAGGTATGTATGGGGTACGGAGGCACGTACGGGGATGTGTGGGCATGAAGATATGGAGGGATGGAGGGAGCAAGGTACAGGGCGTTGTGCCCTCTGCCAGGATCACGATCACCGCATGGGGACGGGTGTGGCAAGCACGGAATCAGGCGGAACACTTCATGTATGCTGCAGCAGGGCAGCATGAAATGTGTCGGTTTGCAGGGTGTAGGGCCGGAGAACGGGCAGGGCGGGGCAGGTAGCGAGACACAACTTCTTGGCCCTCTGCTTCCCTTATTGGACATGGCACTCGGTGTTGGTGCTCTAATTCTCACCTCTGGTTCTCACCTCTGGTTTTCACCTCTGATTCTCACTCACTCAACCCTTGACCCATCTCCCACAAATGCTCCCCTCCCCCCCACCCCACCCCCCCTGCTGCAGCTCGCTGCTGCCATTGACGATGCGGCTGCTGTGGTCACCACAAACACCGCCGCTGTGCAACTCGCCACCGCTCTCAGAAAGCCAAGGTCAGTTCACCACTCTCACAAGTTAGGCTAGGTAGGTAGATACATTCTGTAACAACCGCCATTGAATAGAATGACCTTGTCTTGTCTGATGCTGGATGGCTTCTGAATCCTGTTTGATATTGTACTACCCCCCAATTTATTGTTTTGTTGTCCAGCGTGGCTCTCTTTGGTTCGTCGGACAAGGCTGCTCTCTTTGTGCCTGATGCTGCTGACCGCAAGTGCACAGTGGTTGCGTCTGCATCGGGCAGCCTCGCTGGTATCAGTGCCAAGGACGTTGCTGCTGCCATTGCCTCTCTCCCAGTCTCCGCAGCTGCCCAGGTGGCTGCTTGAAAGTGCTGCTTTTGCTCGAATTGTGCTTGAAACGTGCATTCAATTGTAGAAGTTTGTGAGCCCCAATCGCCACTCAGCCGCTTACAATAGTTTTTAGCATAAATCTTGTTTATTGTATGTCATTTCAAACACCATCTCGGCCACAATTGGCCTAGTAATGTTATGCGTGACATTTGCTTTAGCGACTACCGATTTGGCATTGACAGGATCATTTGGCATCAGCTATGCACGACGACTGTTACAACTATCTACGCGCCTTTTCGGCACGAAAGGGTCATGGCCTTCGCTTCGCAACGTTGCCTTGCGGCTGCGCGAAGGGTAACCAGATATACTGAACCCTTTCCTTCCCCAAAATCGCGACTCTTCGGCACCAAGAGGTCGACTTCGCTCGACTTTTCCTTTCCCAGAATCTCTCCTGCAACCTTGGGAACACCGACCAGTCACTCTGACTGACAGACTGACCCAGTTGTAGCAGCCAATCGCTATGCCTCTGACTGCCAGGGGTGCATCGGCCATTCCTTCAGACCGTCAAAGGCGTAGTGCCGAACCCTTCTGACTGCTATGATGTAAGGAAACCTTAGGAACAGAAGGCTGTCGCAGTGCATCCTAAGACCTATTTCACTGGCTTCGAGGGTACCGCTCAGGACACGCCAAGCCCTCTAGCGTTAGGATTCGCTGTCAACACATCAGCACGTGTAGCATAGCATCGTACCACATTGTTACTGCGTTTTGCTCCGAAGTTCTTTTTCCCAACGTGAAATTTGAGTATGTCTTCCTGCAGCGCCTCAGCGCTGCTTCAGAGTAGCACCCTCCACAATCCTATTATCCAGAATTGTCCCTCTAGGAATCCCACAGGAGACATCAACTCCAGTTTACCCGCGGTAGCGAGTCAGATCGCATGGAGCCGCGCGGGAGTATGGAGCCACGGATCGGCGACTTTACGGTCGTCGCGTCGTCAACAGGGACGCGGTATAGGCAGCTCCGGTTGTGGTCCCAGCGTGAGGCGAGAACAGCAGCGTAGGGGATCCGTGGGTGTCCGGGCCGCCGTGATTTTAGACGACGTTCCGCACATCTCTGAGTGGATCCCCGACCTCGAGGTGCGTCCCCTGTGAGGCGCATTTCAAGTGAAATCCAGACGTCTCTTTTTCGTTTCCGCACATCTCCGAGTGCATACCTGACCTTGAGGTGCGCACCAGCAGTGTATTTGTTAGTTAAACGCTTTTAAAAACACAAGCACGAAGACGCGGGGTGGGCCAAAGTAGATACCAGTTGTGGTACTGTTGTCACAAAGACACTGTTTCTTCTTCTTCTTCTTCTTATTTCAAGAGCACGTCGCTTTCTCTCTTCTCACTGCGGTGTCAGCTTGCTGGCGAGCCCTCACCGTGTAACGTTCTTGGGTTTTGTGCCTCTGTCTCTGTCTACATCCGCCTGTGTCTCTGTTACTGCCTTGGCCTCGCTGTACGCATCCGTCTCTGTCTCTGTCTCCGTCTCCGTCTCTGTCTCTGTCTCCGTCTCCGTCTCCGTCTCCGTCTCCGTCTCTGTGTTGATCTCCGCTTTTCCTACGTCAAATCGCAGATGCACAGCAACCCGCTGCTCCGCAGCCCCAATCGACCGGCGTAAGCACACCAACTTTGGCCTCTCTTCCATTCCATACTCGTTGCTGCGATTCCATACTCGTTACTGCGATTCCATACTCGTTACTGCGATTCCATACTCGTTACTGCGATTCGATGCCCTTCCTTCTGCACAAGGGTCCGCAAACCCATCAGCAGTCTCCTTTCTCCTTCACACTCCCATTTCCCTATCATCTCTCCTCTGCATTCCCCTCCTCCCCATCCCCCCTCTCCTCCCCATCCTCTCCTCCCCGTCCTCTCCTCCCCTCCTCTCGCTACCACCAGGAACTACTTCGTTGACAGCGAGGATGTGGTCTGCCAAAAGGTGCCTTTCTCATGCTTGTGCGGTCTGCTTCCTTTCTGCAACCGCCTGCCTTTCAGCAAACTTCATTCTCATGTGGCTTTCCACCTTATGCCATCTCCTGTCTTTCGTGCCACTAGTTCGAGTCCACTCAAAAGCAGACGAGTCGTTGCACGCGCCTGTTCCTCATGTGCGGTACTGAAGCCACTCACGTGCTGATGGCGTTGCGTCTGCCTTCCCCGGCGTGCATCCCGGCGTGCATCCCGGCGCGCATCCCGGCGTGCATCCCGGCGCGCATCCCGGCGTGCATCCCGGCGTGCATCTTCTCTTCGTTCTACCTAGCAAGCCCTTCCAACCTGCCCCTTCAACACTTCTCGTCCACCTGCCGCTTCCCCCCCCCCAGGCGCTCATCAAGACGGGCAGTGTGGACGACATCCGCGTCTTCAGGCGCTCAGGGCCCCGCGAACAGGTGAGCTGCGGGGGGAACAGGGGGAACAGGGGGGTCAGCAGCTCGGCCATGGGGTCAGCAGCTCGGCCATGGGGTCAAGGGGTTCCCAGCGGGCGTTCCCAGCAGGCGCTCGGCCGTAGGGCTCCTTCCCCAGCGGGTTGTGTTCTAGCCTGAGGACGTTCTGGCGTCCATAGGGACGCATGGGGCCTGTGTGTTCTCTATCCTCTCCCCCCCCCACCCCCTAGCCCCCACAATCTCTTCCCCTTCCCTTCCGCCCATTGGTTGCGTTCTAGTCCCAGGACGTGCAAGGAGCCATGGTCACCTGTAGATACCTGTGCCCCGGTTTCAAGCTTCAACACACGCCTCCTCCCCGCCCGCCCGTCCTCTCCCCCCCCATCAGGTGGAGTTCCAGCCTAAGGACGTGCGAGCAGCAATAGTCACCTGTGGGGGGCTGTGTCCTCCGGTGCTCAACACCGCCTCCTCTGTCCTCTTCCCCCCATCAGGTGGAGTTCCAGCCTCAAGGCGTGCGCGCAACCGGGGCCTGTGTCCGGGGCTCAACACTGTCATCCGCGAGCTGGAGTCAGATTCCCCCCTGTAAATGCCCACACCCCCCCGCCCCCTCTGTCTGCCAGGTGGTATTCCAGCCTCAGGACGTGCGGGCGGCAATCGTGACGTGTGGGGGCCTGTGTCCGGGGCTCAACACAGTCATCCGCGAGCTGGTGTGGGCGCTGTGGTTCCGCTACGGCGTCAGGAGCATCTTCGGCATCGATGTGCGTTGGGGGGGGGAAGAGGGATTGTCAGGAGAGGGGAAGGGGAGTGGGGATAGAGGTTGAGGGCTGCATGGGGGGCAGGGGTGGGTGTGGGCGCTGTGGTTCCGATGCGGTGTCAGGAGCATCTTCGGCATCGATGAGCGTTGGGGGGAGGGAGGTTGGGGGGGTAGAGGGGGGTTGGGGGGGGGGGGGTGATGGTTGCACTAGGGGACAGGGTGGGGGTAGCCATGTGATTCGAGACCTGGTGTGGGCGCCATGTGCATTAGAATGGGTGTACGGTATCGTGGGGATGAGGGGCGGCTGATGTGGGAGGGTTGTAGACGAGACTGTGATGTTGCATGGCAAGGACAGGGGGATTCGATTTCATTGCTGTTACAGTGTTGTGTCGGTCGGCTTCATTCTTCCAGGTGGCAAAAGCTGTTGGAATCAATACGATTTCACGGAGACCAACCCTGTTTACGTCTACGAGGCATGCACCAATGGTTTTTGAGGCGCCTCAAAAGTCGTCTACGAGGCATGCACCAATGGTTTTTGAGGCGCCTCAAAAGTCGTCTACGAGGCATGCACCAATGCTTTTTGAGGCGCCTCAAAAGTCGTCTACGAGGCATGCACCAATGCTTTTAGAGGCGCCTCAAAAGTCATCTACGAGGCATGCACCAATGCTTTTTGAGGTGCCTCAAAAGTCGTCTACGAGGCATGCACCAATGCTTTTTGAGGCGCCTCAAAACTCGTCTACGAGGCATGCACCAATGCTTTTTGAGGCGCCTCAAAAGTCGTCTACGAGGCATGCACCAATGCTTTTTGAGGCGCCTCAAAAGTCGTCTACGAGGCATGCACCAATGGTTTTTGAGGCGCCTCAAAAGTCGTCTACGAGGCATGCACCAATTCTTTTTGAGGCGCCTCAAAAGTCGTCTACGAGCCATGCACCAATGCTTTTTGAGGCGCCTCAAAAGTCGTCTACGAGGCATGCACCAATGCTTTTTGAGGCGCCACAAAAGTCGTCTACGAGGCATGCATGCACCAATGGTTCCCACGCTCACCGATTTGTTTCTCTCCCACCCCTTCCTTTCCCCAGGTACCGCGAGCTCTACAGCCGCAACCTGCTGCAGCTGGACCCGTGGAGAAAACAAGGTGGTTGATTGTCTCATAGACCTATGGTTAGTAGTCACCTTTTGCCTTTCCCCCCCTCACCAGGGCGGGTACCGTGGCTTCTACAGCTGCAACCTGCTGCAGCTGTACCCGTGGAAGGAAGCGACAAGGTGCAAGCCCCATGACAGTTCGCCCTTACCTCTCACCGCATACCTCCACACCTCCCTCCCCTCTCTCCCCCCCCCACCAGGGCGGGTACCGCGGCTTCTACAGCCGCAACCTGCTGCAGCTGGACCCGTGGAAGGTGAACGACATTCACAAGCGCGGAGGAACCTTCCTGGGCACTTCCAGAGGCGGGCATGACTCCACCAAGATCGTCAACTCCATTGAAGACCGCGGCATCAACCAGGTGAGGCATCAACCAGGTGAGGCATCAACCAGGTGAGGTGCCAGGAGATTTCTCAGGTGAGGGGCATAAAATTTGAGGTGAGCTCCTAGGTGGCCGCCCAGATGATCTGTCAGGTTGAGCTGCCAGGTTTGATGTCAGGTATGTGAGTGCTTTATGTAATTGAAGTACCCAATGAATTCATTTCTATCTCTTTCACTTCTCCTGTTCCAACACTCCCCCCCCTCCTCACAGCTGTACATCACAGGGGGGGGCGGCACACAGCGCATACAGATGCTATTCTGAGACGTTCAAAGCACTCTCCACCCCCCCATCGACCTCACTCCCCTAACCCCCCCTGCCAGCTGTACATCATAGGCGGGGATGGCACACAGCGAGGCGCAGAGATCATCTACGAGGTGTGCGGGGCATGGGGTGCCTTCTGGGGCATGGTTTCCATGGGATGGCCTGTCGTAACATAGCATGGGGATGGCATGGGATGGCATGGCATGGGATGGGATGGGATGGCATGGCATGATGGCATGGGATGGCATGAGATGGCATGGGATGGCATGGGATGGCATGGCATGGCATGGCAGGGGATGGCATGGCATGGCATGGCAGGGGATGGCATGGGACGGGATGATTCGAGTTTAGGTGACTTGTAAGGCATGCGTTGCCCTCAATGCCCTCCTCATTTCGTATTTCTCACAGGAAACCAGGCGGAGGGGACTGAAAGTTGCCGTGGCGGGCATCCCCAAGACTATAGACAACGACATCGCGGTGATCGACCGGTCGTTTGGGTTTGACACGGCGGTGGAGGAGGCTCAGCGCGCCATCAGCGCCGCGCGGGTGGAGGTCACCAGTACTCACCGGGGGGTGGGGCTGGTGAAACTCATGGGGAGGTACTGCGGTGAGTGCAGTGTGGTGGGATGGGAAGTTGCTTGTTGGTTGTGAGGTGTCCCAACGATGTGCCGGTTACAACCTCAAACGTGACTGAATGCGTGCTCTCCCCTCCGGTGCCCCCTTGGCCCCCCCCTGCCCCCACCCATGCTGCCAGGTCAGATCGCCATGCACGCCACTCTGGCCAGCCGAGACGTGGTAAGCGATAGAGGGGGGCAGTGAGGGCAGGGGGGAGGTGGAAGGGTCAGAAGCGCAGAAGGGTGAGCAAGGCAGACGGGTGAGCAAGGCAGAGGCAAGCATGTGCATACGACTCACTTGTAGGAGGTGTCAAGCAGCTGGTCAGATCGGTGCCCTGTTGCTCCCTCCCCTTGCCCCATTCCTCCGCCACGGCAACGGCGAGCTGTTTGAGTTCATGGAGGGCAAGCTGCGCGAGAGCGACCGGTGCTGCGCCACGTGGTGGCGGAGGGGTCAGACTCAGGCCTTGGAGCCCCTGCCTCTCCCCTCTTCCCCGCTCTCCCCTTAACCGCTGCCTGATCCCGGAGTGGCCCTTCCATCTGAGTGGCGAGGGCGGGCTGTTTGATTTCATGGAGCGCAAGCTGTGCGAGCAAGCGACGAGTGTGTGATACAGAGGTTGGAGTCCACACTCACCCATTCCGCTCCTCCCCCCTTCCTTCTCTCCCACCAGGATTGCTGCCTGATCCCAAAGGTGCGGTTCCAGCTGATGGGGGAAGGAGGCCTATTCGAGTGCATGGAGCGCACGCTGTATGAGAACGACCACTACGTCATCGTGGTGGGGATGAGTGTTGCCTTACTCTCTCCCATTCCCCTCCCCCACCAGGATTGCTGCCTCATCCCGGAGGTGCCCTTCCACTTGTCAGGGGAGGGCGGGCTGTTTGAGTTCATGGAGCGCAAGCTGTATGAGAACGACCACTGCGTCATCGTGGTGGCGGAGGGCGCGGGGCAGAGCCTGGTGGCGCAAAGTGTGGAGCAGGGCGGGGCGGGTAAAGACAAGTCGGGCAACGCGCTGCTGCTGGACGTGGGGCTCTGGCTCTCCGACCGCATCAAGGTTTGCGCACTTGCTTCTGCGGGAATATGGTTGGTGCATTGAGTGGCTGAGAGGCGCCTAAAGAACCGGCGGGCACGGACAAGTCGGGCAACGCGCTGCTGCTGGACGTGGGGCTGTGGCTGTCGGACCGCATCAAGGTGGGCTGCCTCTAATGGCTGCTTCAGGTGCGTCAGGCTGAGCGCTCCCTGCCGCACTGGGAGCGCTCCCTGCCGCACTGGGAGCGCTCCCTGCTGCACTGGGAGCGCTCCCTGCCGCAATGGGAGTGCCCACCTGTCCTCCCTTTCTCCCGTGCTGTGCTCCCTTCCTCCCACCTAATGCTCCCTTCCTCCCACCTAATGCTCCCTTCCTCCCACCTAATGGGTCGATTTTTTAGTCGACTCAAAAATCGACTCATGACACACCTTTTAGAATTCTCAGAAATGCTCCCATTCTGCTGCACGCCATGCCTCACCGTTGCCTTTCTCTTTGCCACATGCGCCGTGTGTTGTGCGCCCACCAGGAGCACTTCAATGCGGCGAAGAAGAATGACATCAGCCTCAAGTACATCGGTGAGCCCCTTTCCTAATTAACTACTATCTTTCCGTTTTCTCAAGTACATCGGTGAGCCCCTTTCCTAATTAACTACTATCTTTCCGTTTTCTCAAGTACATCGGTGAGCCCGTTTCCTAATTAACTACTATCTTTCCGTTGCCATTGACCAGTCCTCTCATCCCTTACCCCGTCCTCTCACCACCCACCTTACCGGCCCCCTTCTAACGTTTCTGGTCTGTGTGGCTGGATGGACGCCCTCTCACCTGCAATCTTACCCTCCTTCTTCAACATCTACTGCATGCTGCTGGGTCATGGCTAATGTGTTGTTCTTCACATCTGCCTCTCTTTCCCGCCCCCCAGACCCCACCTACATGATCCGCGCCATCCCCGCCAACGCCAGTGACAACATCTACTGCACGCTGCTGGCCCACGGGGCGATCCATGGCGCCATGGCTGGCTACTCGGGGTTTGTTGTGGGGCCCGTTAACGGCACGCAGTGCTACATCCCTGTCAATGTGCGTCCTACAACCTACTCCCCTGCTACAACGGGCATCTCTGTCAACGTACCCTGCTGGACTCACAGGGCTAACTTCCTTGCAATTCTAGTTCCGCACATCCATGCATCTATCCCCATGGCCCTCGTTCTTGCAGCCTTCTATTCTCCTCTCACTCAATACCCCTCTCACATCCATCCATACGTCACTCCTTTCTCACCCACTCCCTCCCCCCCCGCCCCCCCCCCCCCCCCCCCCCCAAACCCCTTTCCCTCCCTCACACGCACAGCAAGTGACAGCCCCCAAGTCGGTGGCCCTTACCGACCGCATGTGGGCGCGCCTCCTCTCCTCCACCTCCCAGCCCACCTTCATGCGCCTCGACCATTCCGCTGCCGCCACGCCAGCACCCAAGGCAGGTGCCGACGGGGTGCCGGTGATGCCTGATGAGGCGCGGCCAGTGGACCATAAGCACGGGCACAAGGGTGACCTGACGAGGGCATGGAGTAACCGTACATGGGCTGCTGCTGCTAGGGACAAGACCGGGAATATGATGGAGCCGTAGTGCACCATTTAAACCAGTGGTTGGATTCAGATAATGATTTAGCACACATCAAGTAGACCGAACTTGGTGGGTGATGCATGTGTTTTAATTATGGCTTTAAAACTCTGTACCATAACCATTGTCGTATTATATGGATCCACGATCAGCACGCCAACCTAACGGAGAATTCCGTCGCAGCGAGTCGAGTGATCCAGAAAGCCGTGATGTGGCATCGGCCAATACGACCGTGTGTCTTGCGTCACGATGACTCATTTCTGACACTGCCGCTACGTGTCTAGATATTGCGCGACTGGCTGGTCGCGATCGTTCCTCCCGCTGAAATTTGCACGGCTCAGATTAGGCCACTTCCGCGTCAGGTTCCACTGCCGCTGCCCAATCTTCTAGCTTGTCCTTCGTCCATCAGGACACTCTCGTACATGCTCGGAACCCTACTAAACCGCACTTCAACCTGGTTTTATTTGTTCACGTTTCTGCGCTTCGTTTCCGCAGCAATTCGCAGCCCCCACCTCTTCTCCAGTGACCTCCCAGGCCCCAGACCCTGACACAGATTGCACGGGAGAAATCACGTGTACAGCTTGACAACTCTGTTTAACTCTCCTCACCGCTTCGCACCGAATAATGCAGTAGTGGAGCAGCATCCAGGCGGCAAAGCCGTTCTCCGCCCCAGCCAGACTATAATCGCCTCTTCACTTCAGTAGTAAGCCGTCACATAGGAGACGCCATAAAGCCGTCACTGGCGTCTAGCTTCTGTGTCTCTTACCATTTCACGCTCATCGAATACATTCCGGCCAGGAAGAGCTTTAGGCGTTACGAGCTTGTGCAGAAGTTACCTGTTGGTCTGATCACATGCCTACTGTCCATAAAAATGTTTTTTAGCAACGCGGCGTAGCACTCACTATGTGTTGAGCACCTTCGCAAGGGAAGCCGAGTTTCGAGTCTACGCGAAGGACTAAAAGGCATCTGCGAGGCGCCCTATAAGAAGCCCTAGGAGTATTTATTCCTGTCGTGTTTTTCTGCAGTCGTTTCTCGTCTGTGCCAAGTACGATGTCCTCCAGCGCCGTATCGCGTATAACGAACGCAGTCAGTAGCGGAGCATGTCGTTGCCGTCTGAATAAGCCCGCACCCCAGGTAGCTTCGCCGAAGCTTGCGACGCGTCTCCCGCTGAGAAACGCGGGGCGCAGAGTGACCATTACGGCCGCGTTTCCATCTATTTTCGAGTCGACCCAAAAGTCGTCGTTTCTTCACTCCAGTGCCTCGCCTCGCCTCGACTCGAGTTGCTTATCGCATTTAACGGAGCAGGCGAAAGCGGAGCATTCTAAGCCAATAGAAGCACTCCACGTGCGCAGCGAAGAATCGGCCGCGAATCCCGCGTCTGCGCCGACGCTGATCCCCCGATGGATTTCGGGACGCTCCAACGTCGCACGGTCTAGCGACGCGCAAGCAAGCGACAAGAAAGCGACCGCAAGCGACGTTGATCGGCGACACACGGCGACGACCCGTGTCGCAGAGGGCGAGAAGCACGGTGCCTCCGGATCAGCCTTCAGCGCGCCTTGTGCGACGTGTGGCAGTCGCACGGGCGCGTCGCATCTTGTCGCATCGGTGTCTTCGGCTCCCCAACCAACCGGCCTCCTCCACGTGTCGCCGCGCGACGTCCCTGTGCTGAGCCTCGGCTTCGTCGCTTGCTCGGTATGCGAGCCGCCTGATTCTGATTTGAGGCGCCTCATTTATAGACTCCTGTTTCTGCGTCTCCCTTCACCGCTTCTAAACCATGTCCTTGTATCCTCCCCTCTCGCGCCCTCTGCCCGCCCGTTATACTCACGGTTCGTTTGCGTAAACCCCGTCCGACCGTCGGATTCTCGCTTCTTTTGCAGATCTCCGCGGCGCTCTCCGGAATGATCTTCGCCGCCATCCCCGCGCTGCTGGTACGTCCTGGTGCACCCGTCGCTATCCCCGCGCTCCCGCCGCTGGTCGCCACACGTGCGCCCTCCTTCCGAACCATGCAATGCCACAGGCCGTGCGGAGGGCAGCGCAGGTGGCGGAGCGGATGGCCGCTGAGAGACTGCCGGCAGTGACAGTGAGGGAGGAGCTGCCGGGGACCATGGCCGCTGTGAGACTCTCAGGCACCTTGCCCCCCTCCCCCCCACCCCCCCCTCTCACGCATGCTTCCTCCCCCCATCGCGCATCACCTGCAGGCCGTGCGGAGGGCGGCCCAGGCGGTGGAAAGGCTGGCGGCGACGGCGAGGGAGGAGCTGCCGGGGACCATGGCGGCGGTGAGGCTGTCAGGCATGGAGATCAGCGACCTCACCATGGAGCTCAGCGACCTCAGGTGCGCGCCCAGGTGAATTCTCAGGTGATTTTCAGGTGATTTCAACAGTCGTATCGGGAGGAGCTGCCGGGGACCATGGCGGCCATGGGGCTGTCAGGGATGGAGCTCAGCGAGCTCAGATGTTCTTCATGTGAAACCTCAGGTGAGACACGTGTCGTGTCTTGTCGGCCTCACTTCATGCCTCACTTCTCGCCTCCCTCTCTCTGTGTGCCTCACCACCACTCCCCACCACTCGTCACCACTCTCCTTCATTCTTCTGTGCAGCCATGAGATCTCCCAGGGAGTGCGCAGCCCTGCCCGTGCCTCCCGCCTTTCCACGAGCACCAGTGCCGCCAAGGCGAAGGAGCAGCATGCTGCTGGTGAGTGCTAGTAACCAGGTAACCACGTGCCATGCACACGCCGTCCATAGCATATGTAGGGACCCACCAGCACTAGTGCCACCAAGGGGAAGGAGCAGCATACTGCCAGTGAGTGCTGGTTACCAGGTAACTATGAATCATGCCCATGTGGTAACCATGTGCCATGCCCAGGTGGTAACCATGGTCCATGCATACACCAAACAGTGCCTTCACCTCCCTCCCGCAATCCCTCAAACACACCATGGTTTTCCACATCCGTGTAGTGAGCCCTGCTCTTTCATACATCCCGTCCATCCATCAAGCACCATCGCGTCATCTGGTTCCCCATTCCCCCCTCCCCCTCCCTCTCCCTACCCGGACTCCCTAAAGGACGCCCACCGTCATCCCCATCCAGGTGGTCAGCCCGTATGCTGGAGAGGCCTCAAACGTTCCCCCTCGTCTGTCTCCCCCGCCACTAGACCCAGACGCCCTCAGGGACGCAACGGTCATCCCCATCCGCGTGGTCAGCCCTTATGCTGGACAGGCCTCAAATATTTCCCCCCTCGTCTATCTCCCACCCAGACGCCCTCAGGGACGCAACGGTCATCCCCATCCGCGTGGTCAGCCCTTATGCTGGACAGGCCTCAAATATTTCCCCCCTCGTCTATCTCCCACCCAGACGCCCTCAGGGACGCAACGGTCATCCCCATCCGCGTGGTCAGCCCTTATGCTGGACAGGCCTCAAATATTTCCCCCCTCGTCTATCTCCCACCCAGACGCCCTCAGGGACGCAACGGTCATCCCCATCCGCGTGGTCAGCCCTTATGCTGGACAGGCCTCAAATATTTCCCCCCTCGTCTATCTCCCACCCAGACGCCCTCAGGGACGCAACGGTCATCCCCATCCGCGTGGTCAGCCCTTATGCTGGACAGGCCTCAAATATTTCCCCCCTCGTCTATCTCCCACCCAGACGCCCTCAGGGACGCAACGGTCATCCCCATCCGCGTGGTCAGCCCGCTCTTCTCAACAGCTGCTGGTGTTGTCGGCGCAGCCGCCTCCACAGTAACGTCTACTGTGGGCTCTACGGTGTCCCATGTGGGCGGCACGGTGGGGGCGGCGGCATCTCATGTGGGCGGCACAGTGGGGGCAGCGGCATCACACGTGGGCGGCGCGGCGTCTCATATTCCATCGGTGGTGTTCAATCTCGTGGATTTCCTGCCGTGGGGGCAGCGGAGAGGTGATGGTGAGGGAGGGGAAGGGGGGGGGCAGGGTGGAGGGGAAGGGAGCGGAGATTCAGCAAACATCCATTCTGCTGCTGCTGCTGCTAGTGCTGCTGCTGCTGCTCCCCCTGCTGCTAGTGCTGCTGGTACTGCCACTCCTGCTGCTGCTACTCCCTCAACCGAAGCAGCAGCTGGTGGTGGTGCTGGTGCTGCTGCTGCTGCTGCTTCCAGTGCTCCTGCGGCACGCGCTGCGAGTGCAGGACCACGCTCTACCACCGAATCCCAAACCCATTCTACGAGTGGGACTGAAACCATGCCGGGTGCACATGGGAGGATGCGTGAGACGACTGATGCCGCTCAGTCAGCTCAGCTGGCTCAGTCGGCTCACAAGCCCCACAAGACTCCAGGTGCAGGGGAGGGGAGCCACGTGGTAGCGCCGGAGGAGCACTTTGAGTTGTCGTCGCTGCCGTCGTTCGTGGGGTGGCTGCAGCAGCGCAAGGACAAGGAGAAGCAACCCCCCAGGGGCAGTGCGACCGAGAGGACCAAGCACAGGGTTCAAGAGCCGGGGTCGTAATGGGGGCATGGCGGAAGGATTGAGGTAATAACCAGTTACCTATTGACGTATGGTTAAGATCAGCGCCAACCAGCTGGTTACTTGGATTTAGGGTCATGCCGTTGGGGCGATTCTAGGTTCTGTAGACCAGCATGCATGGGTTATGAATATAAATTGTTCATTTTACTCTGGCATTCGGGTTGGGGTCGTTTGAAGCTACGTCTGCATTGCGTTGCATTGAATTATGGATCTTCTGAAGTGTGCGTACTTGGTACAGCTAGAAATATTTGTGCAATTGAAGCTAAACTAATGATTTAGAAAGATGAATTAACGGTATTATGTATTTATTGCTCTGAACTGACAAGCAGGGCAAGAGTTATTTCCCATGGGAAAAAGCACCAGCTTTTACCGAAGAAAGGGCGCACATTTCCTGCCAACAGATCTGCTGCACTGCAGGTGCTTGCCCTGCAACCTCGCGCCCACCACAGCACTCCCCCCACTCCCCGTATTCCCGCTGGTCCCGCATTCCTCCGTTCAGCACGCACTCGTCGCATGCTTCCGCGTACGACGGGAAACACGGAAGCACGGGAATGCACCAGCGTACGGTATCGTCGCGAGGGGTAGGCATGAGTAGCAGAAGGGGCAGGAGGGAACGATAGCCTTCGCAATGCAAGCGTGGGACGCCAACCTTCCCGTGCACGAGCGAGAAGCTCGCTTCGACCTTACCCCCACCAGCGCAGCAGCCGCACGCCGTCCAGTTGCAGACGCAACTGTTCAAATCCCGCACTCCGCACTCCGCACTCCGCACTCCGCAGCCGCGCGGAAGCTAGGGACTGGCGATGCAGGAGGCCCCGCGCCTACCCGCGTACCGGCGCGTGTTCGCGTCGGCGTTCCTCCCCCCCGAAGAGCAGCGGGCGCGCGGCGTGGAGTGGCAGACGCGGCTGCGCCACGTGCACGTGGTGGGCGTCGTGGTGGACGTGGACCATCTCCCCTTCAAGTTCGTCCGCTTCGCGCTAGACGATGCCAGTATGACCGCCGCTGCCGCCGCCCGCCCGGCCCCTTCCCGCCCTGCCCCTTCCCCCGCCCCTCCGCCCGCCCCTCCGCCCGCCTCCTCCGCCCGTGTCTCCGTCCCTCCGTCTGCTGCCACACCCCCTGCGCTCCCCACAGGCGCGTTACCATCCGCCCCTTCGTCTGCTGCCCCTGCGCTCTCCCTTCCTCCCCCCACTTCTTCCCCCCATCCTCCCCCCGACCTTCCCCTCCCCCCTGCGCCGTCACCTGCGCCATCACCCGTGTCCCCCATCTGCGCCACGCGGCCTGTGCGCGCTGTGCCATGTGTGCTGTGGCTCAACAGCCGCGACCCCACAGAGCGCCACGTGGCACTGCTGCAGGCTGCCACGTGTGTCCACGTGGGCGCGCTGGTGGGCGTGCGAGGGAGAGTGACAGTGTTCAAGGGGAGGAGGCAGGTAGGCATGGGGAGTACAGCGATCTCTTAGGACGGGAGCAGCAGAAAGATGGGTGTTTGTGAACGGCACATTCAGGTTGAGGGTGAAGGTAATTCACCCTTCTTTAACCCTCCTTTTTATGTATGTGTGTCTGTCTGGGCATGTGTGTATGTATGTGTGGCGGGGGGGGGGGAAGAGGGGGGGGTGGGGGTTGAGGGGGGGGGCATGTGTAAATGTGTGTGTGTGTGGCTATGGGGATGTGAGTCTGAGGGTGCTAATGGTATGTGTTGGTGGGGTTGTGTAACCGCCATCTGTACATACGTGTGCTTGCATGCATGACTGCAGGTGACAGTAGATGCAATCTACCCCATATCCGACCCCAACGAGGAGATGCTACATTGGCTTGACTGCCTTGATGCTGCGCGTAGCTAACACAGTGGTTTGCGAGATACTTGTGCTGAAAAATGGATAAAATATCAAAACTACCTCAAGGATCGTCCATGTTTCCGCAATATGAACTACTTTGAATGGCAGTCGAGCAATACAGCATTGGCATGCTTTATCCAAATTATCCTACAGACATGCAATGGCAGCCAAATAAAATTACAATTGGGCCTCGGCCCTCAGTGTCCACGACCAGAAAGAGTATGGGGGGTAGCGATATGAAGACAAACGAGAAATCGGATACCGCGGAAAAGAAGCGGCAAAGCGAAGCTTAGTTGTACGCAGCGCTCAAGTGCATGGCGCGGTGGTAGGCTGTCATGGCGCAATCCACGCCAAGCACCGAGCTGGCCTCGTACGATCGAGGAGTGCCATCCAGGAATCCCGCGCCGAGCTCTCCGTCAGCAGAAACCGGGCGGTGGAGCGACGAGACGAGCTCCTGGAAATCGACCGCACGGGCCACGTGGTCCTCCCTGTACGTCTGGCCCAGCACGCCGTGCACGTTGTCCGTGTACTTGAAAGATGTAACGCCCACGTTGATGTGCACCTCGGCATCGTTCGGTGTCTGCAGCTTCGGGTGAGCCACGCGCAAGCGGATGTCGAACGAGAGTATCCCGGCCACCGAAACGGTGTAGTAATCCACGTCGTACGGCCCCTGCTTCTCGTACGCTGCGAGGGCGATCTCGAGGCCACCGGCGCCGAGGAACTTCTCGCCGAGCGCCAGCCGTTGGATCTCAGTGCCGTCAACCTCAATGGCCTGCATGTAACCGGTGCCGCGCTCCTGCTGCTTGCCGCCGCGGGCAACCAGACGCAGCTTGTGATCCGCGTCGTTCGCGTGCCACACGATACCGAGCTCCCTGAAATAACGGAGGGAAAAGGTACACGGAGGGAAAAGAGTTGAGCAACCACCCTAACATATGGCAGGAAGACAAGGGGATGTGTGACAGGAGAAAGCTAGAATAATCGAAGGGAAGATTACGGCTGTATGATTAGCTTACTTGATCCAGGTGTGGACGGCCTTCCCATCGACGACAAGAGCAGCGCCCTCGATACGGTCGTCGTAGTAACCCCTCAGCAGCATGTTGACGTGCACGTTGTCGTCAGTCAGCAGGCAGAACGCCTTGTCGGGACGGCCGTTGAAGTCGAAGCGCGTGCCGTGCGCGCCGACGAAGTGCGGGTCGTCGAGGATCTCAGGGTCGTCGTTGCACTCGCCGCCTGCACGCACCTGTAGGTACACGGGCTTGTCCTTGTTCTCGTACTGCGCCGCCAGATCTCCGCAGATGAAATCCTGCTCCTCCTTGATCAGATCGCACTGCCCGGGCCTGCGCGCACAGACGGAGAGAACGGTAGGAAGTGAAAAGAAATTAGAATACAAAAAAAGGTTGACTGTACTAGCGGAAGAAAATGTGTGAACAGAATGACGGTTCACGACGACAAGGAGCCGGGTGCTTACTCTTTGCCCGCGGCAGGGGTGAACTGCCAGTACGTGCAGTCGTGGGTGGCGGCGCACTGGTTGCAGCACGCCTCGGGTGACTGCTTCTTGACGGACCAGCCGCCATTGGGCAGGATGAGCGCAACGTGCTTGGCCTTTTTCTTCGAGATGATGGACGCCTTCCACTTGGCGGGAATGCCGGCTTTGGAGCAGTTCTTGGCCGTGCACGCGCCCTTGTATTTGAGCGCCATTTCCGTCGGGCACTTCTTCGCCGCCCATCCGAGCCCCTTGATCTTCACCTCGCCGCCGCCCACGTCCTCGCTGCCGACCGACTGCGGCGTGCTGCTCGTGACGATGGCACCCTTGGCGGACGCCGCCACCGCGCCGGATTTCGACTTGCCGGATTCTCCCGACTTTCTGCCCTTCGGATCGCCCTTCTTGTCTCCGCCCTTCTTGCTGCCGCCCTTTTTCCCGTGGCCCTTCTTGTCACTGAGGGTGCTCGCCTTACCGGCCTCTGCGCAGATGATCAGCGCGAGGAAGAGGAGAGCGAGGAACGCGACGCCTAGACGGCCCATGGCGACGAGATTAGACGATAAGGTCGATGACTCGAAACGGACTAGTCTGCTTCCAGCACTAGCGGTACTTCCTAATCCTCCCTAGTACGAAGTATTGAAGGGCTTGTGGGTAGATATTGCTGCAAGTGTTCTCGGGTGCCCTAGATGTCCTGGCCTTGAACCTGCGTGTCTGAGATCCTTACTGAAGAAGTTCCAGGTGGGTTGGTCTTGGTTTTGAAGAGAGGTGAGCAGGTGGCTGGGCAGCAGGAAGCTCTTCTGGAGCCCTCGAATGACGCCAAGCCGAGCTGCGATTGGCTGAGACGTGCTCAAACTTGTTTCCTGCCCGTATCAGGACATGGTCCCAGGTGGAAGTGATGATACGAAGTGTAACAGGCAGCAGCAACTGCCCCAACTTTCGACCGCCTGACGAGGCGCAGAGAGCCAGCTCGGCGCCTAGGGCTTGTTGCCGAGTCTGGAATGTATCCCAATTGCTTACTGTGCAGGTGAATTCTTGGAAACCGGCTCCCTCGCAGGTAGACATTCACGGCCAGGACATGACATGTCAAAAACCTGCGCTTTGCTCCACATTAGGGTACACGCACTGTACAGGGAAGCACAGTTGACTGCTCCACGCCGCGCCGACCCCCCTTGGTATAAAACTCGAAGCAGAGACCCCCTTTCAGGTGATGTGCTCCACAGCCAGGGGCCGAATCGCAGGGGCCAGCCTGTGACCAATTATGAACTACTGATGACAATCTTCGTAGGCTGCACCACACCAGCATTCGATTTGCAGACATCGAGCATGAAATACAGAGGCTTCATATATTATTCCACAAAGGCAAAATGACAACCTCGTTTCTTGTTTGCTTACAGGCACCATATCTACAAATTAGGAGGCTCTTGGTGTGCCAAACTCAGAAAGTGGCACAAAACGCAGAGAAAATATAATTACGTTGAGTGGGAGCTGAGAGCAAGGGTATTATAAATCTGAAGTGCACTTGAGCAAGTGGGATAAGGTTTATTATTTTTGTGCAGAAATCAATTGCTGAGTCATCTAAAAATAAATAAACAAATAAAAATAAAGAAAGACATACCCATCATATTCAAATATATCATATTTACATTGCTAATCCTCAACCAAAGAGTTCATCTTAAACCTGGAAACTTCTAAGCAGGCCATTACAAGCTTCCTGCTCTGAAGCCTTACAGCCTTTGAAGGCTGGAAAAACTCCATATCTACATCCTAAGTAGGTCTAGGATATGAGCAATGCATTACAGCAAACCCCCCTGGTTTCACAGAGTCCAACTGATGCCTAGGGTAGGGTACGACCAGAGTGTGTAATCCAAAGCCAGAAAGAGTTCCCCCAGTGGTCCAGGGAAGGGAGTTGCAGCAAGGTTTGATGCCTTGTCTGCAACATGAAGTGGAGGAATGGGAGGACGTTGTGCAGATGCAGATAAAATCTGGGTAGCTATTAGGAGTTTATGCAGAGAGGATGCGGCAATTGGTGCAACAGCCGGTGTAACAGCCGGTGTAACAGTGAGATGGAGGCAAGACAAGGACAGGGGGACCATGGCTGCGGCGGGCGATAGCAACGTGAGCTGCGGAGCAGAGTGAGTGCCCGGCAGTGCAGCAGCAGTGAGTGCAGACCTCAATGCACCAGACGGTCAGTTCACAGTTGGAGGTGGAGGAGGTAGAGAGACCAGGGCAGGCGAGACATGGCCGTGAGGCGCAGCAGCAGCCAAGTGGGCCTCAAGAACAGGCGAAATAACAGCAGCAGCATCGGCGGCACCAGCAGCGGCGGCAGCAGATGGAGCTTGGTGGGGGATTGGAGGGTGGGTTGCACCATGGTGTGCTGCCTCGTGGTGCGCTGAGTCATGCGATGATGTGTCATGGGATCCATGTGCGTCTGCCAAAGGGAACGAACGGACAGGCACATGAGACGAGTGATGAGAACAGAGTTTTTAAACGGAGCCTGTAACATCCAGAAGCATTGCTTTTCATCGAGTACAACCTTTTCAGTAACAATCTTACTGAACCCACCCCTTCCTCTCCCAATGCTCAATCCCGCATCTCACCTCGTTTCCACAGCACGGCCGGCCGGGGGGCGTCGTTCTTAGCGAGGTACAGCCCGCACGCGTTGCACAGGTGCTGCCCGCTCCCCGACCGGTCCTTGCGCCAGAACGGTGTGGTGTGCGTGCCGCAGTTGCTGCACTCCTTCTCCTCGCCTCCCTCCCCCTTCCCATGCCCCACCCTCTCCGCTCCCTCCCCCACTTCCCCCCCGTTCTCCCTGGCCTGATGCCCCACATGCGCCCCCCGCTTCCCCCCAGCCTCCGCGTTTTCTCCGCTTACTGTGTGCTCCACGCTCCCCCTCCGCCTGCGCCGCTTCCGCGCGTGCGCGTCTTCTTCCCCACCATCGGCGCTCTTCCCCTCTCCCAGCCTTCTCTTATCCCCGATAAAAGCATGCCCTTCTAGCGCCATAAGAGAGCTCGGCCTCATACTCGCCGCCACTTCCCCATACCCGGGGAACGGCCACCCAAACGGCGGAAGCTGAGCGCAGCCGGCTCCGCCGAGCCCCCCTGTGGACATCATCCGCGCAACCATAGTGGGCGCAATCGAAGGCGCAACGCCGCACAAGGGGAGGGGGGAAGGCCGCGAGGGAAGATGCGCCAAGCCCGAAAGCGGCACCGTGAAGGGCCTGAGAAACGGGTTGCTGACGTGGCATGGTTCCGCGGAGGCACAGGCGGGACCCGGATGGACGGGGGACGAATCGGCGGAAGTGGACTCGTGGTGCTCCTTAGACTGCCTCCACGGGCGGAAACCCGAATTTCCGCCAATCGCAGCGGAAGGAAGCCCGGGCTTTCCCACCAAGCGCTGCTCGTTAGCAACGTCCGCGCGAGTCGGGGAGGTCGGAGCCAGCGGCGCCAGCGGAGGAGGCGGCGGCGGCATCTGCGGGAAGTGCTGGCTCCAGGAAGCGGCATCTGCGGCGGCGGATGGAATGGAAATGACCGGGGGCGGGCAGAAGTAGATGCACGGCTGCGCGCCTGGCGCCGAGGCCTTCTGAAGCTGTTGCTGTAACCGCTGATGAATTTGCTGCTGCAGCTGCTGCTGCGGCTGTAGCGGCTGTAGCGGCTGGTGCGACAGCAGCTGCTTCTGCGGCTGCAGCGGCACCAGGGGAGGCGGGAAGGGGACGAACGGCCCCCACCAGGCGGTTGCGGCCGGCACGGGCGGTAGAGCCGGCATGCCGCGGCCGCCAGCGGATGATAGGAATGAAGGGATGAGAGTGGGAGCGGCAACGGGAGCAGGCGCGGGTTGGATGCTCACTGGCTTCCTCTCTGGTGCCGGCGCCTTTTCCGCTGGTTCTGCCGCGTCTTTTCTCTCCCGGGTCTTCAAAGGCTTAGTCTTAGCGTCTGATGCCGGCTGCTCCTCACTGGGGCCTGGCTTCTGGCGGTGTGGAGCAGCGTCGGCGGTTGGCGCGGCTTGAGGTGGGGATGGAGCGTTCTGCACGCCGGTGATGTCTGGTGGTTGCTCTTCGCCTTCCGCTCTGACTTCGGCTTTGTCCTTTATCGCGTATGAGTCAGCCGTGGGCCAAAGACTAAGCCTTATCGGGAGCGCCGTGGTGGCCACGTCGGCAGCTGGAGCGAGGGGAGCGTGAGGGGCGGAATGGTTGGGAGAAGCGGGGGTGGAGCGCGGGGAGGGAGGGTGGCGGACGGGAGTAGTGGGGAAGAACTGGAAGGCGGAATGCGCGCATTCGCATGGCCGATGGCTTTCCGCCTGACAGAATGGAGCCAGGCACGAGGCGGCAGAATGAGTGGGTGAGGCGTGAGAGTCTTCTGTGAGCTTGCTGTTGGCTGTCAGGAAATCCTCTTGCTTTTGGCACGTCGTAGTAAGGTGATCCATTGTCGAGCGAGTAGGTGGTGGGAGAAGTGTAGCGAGTGGGACGTAAAACGCATAACGCACATTAAGGCGTCTAATCCTAACAGGAAGCTGCCAAGGTTGCGTGCAATTTAGCTGGAGAGTGAGGAAAACACGAACTGGAAGGAAATGGTCGAAATGGAGGAGACGAGAGGATTATGATCTGGGAGAACCACCGTGCTGTCAGCAGGAAGGAAGGAGGCTCGGCTGTGAGCTCAGCTGTTGGGTGAGATGCAGGCGCGGTGCGGAACAAAGGCCAGAATGCGAGGCTGCTTTCGTGCGAGATGAGAGTGAGTGAAGGATGGAGGAAATGGCTCTACTGTACGTTGGGTGTGAGTGTGTCGGGCGGGGCTCAGTTTGAGGGGGGGGACGGGACACGGGACGGAAAAGGTGATCCAACAAGCTTCCGTCAGACGCACATCAGATTTCTCCCTTCTCTGATCCCGTGTACGGTGAGCGAGTCAGTGTGTGTGAGTGACCCCTTGGCCTGCCATCCATTGATCCATTCTCCCAGCTTCCAGGTTTTCCCCGCCTCGGAGTTTGCTTTTCCGCTTGCCCTCGGGATTACAGTCGAAGAGCGAGAGAGACACAAACTTCCCAAATCGCAGGGGCAATGTCGAGCTCGTTATTTTGCATGCTTCGCCACGGGCAAATGGGACAGAAACGTGGAATTTGTAACAAGATATTTGTGTTGGGTCAATAAACAGAGGTCCCAACGGGCAGTTGTGTGGTCGTTTAGTTCAGCCCTCCATCAACGTGTGGTGGATTCGGTAGCTGTGCGGTGTATATGTGATTGTATGCGTTATAACATTGCCCAAAAATCTGAGGTTTTGGGAAGTGATTCTCATTGAGATAAGAGCTGCGTACAAGATTGGGTGAGCAACAACTGTACTCTGCTGCACGCTTCGCTGTTCCCGTAACCAGACGGACGAATCGCGCGACAGGGGTGGGGGTCCTCACGAGATCGCGGTGCCAAGTGGACGGAGGGAAAGCGGGGAGGGATGAAATAGCGGCGACTGTGGATCAGCATTGGACGGAAGACGATAACGGGACGTTTCCTGACCTCGTGCTGACACCACATCTCGGGGATGTCGAAATGACGACGTGGCGATCCCAACTTCCTACGATTTTGGGAGAGGCACGTCAGCAAGGTCAGGTTCGCGAATGCGTTGAGGGTGACGATCAAGTGAGCCAACACGGATGCGGGAAAGTCGTCAGTGGTCCCATGATCTGCCTCAGATCGACGTGTGTCACATGTGATCGAGCCAAGGCTGATCCACACGTCGCGGATCACCGACAAAACCTCCAACCAAGTCGGATTATTTGCGTGGAAAGTGTGAACTTCGTGTCATAACCAGCCACGTAGGTATGATGTCAAGCAGGGTCACATACACGCCTTCAAGGGCCCCTTCCACAACAACCTTTTCAACCACGACCACGAGTTGAAGACGAGGATCTGGTGGCGCACAGTCACAACCCTGAGGTTGGCAAATGAAAGGGGAGATACACTTGCTGACCAGGCCCGCTGGTGGTCACAGGCAGTCCTGGCCACGCAAGATTCACTGCCAGGCTACACGCGGGCAGCAAACTTGGCGTCCTAAGAGAGCCAGCAACAACAGTTGCGCATATCTGATTCTATAGCCACGTCATTCTAGCGTCAGTGGCCCTTGATCCAGTCGTTCAGGATAAGAGATTGATTGGGGGAATTCGGTAGGCGACAAACTACAAAAACCATCCCCCGATTGGAAAGGCCCTGCGTACAAGTCTAAGAACACATCTAACTATCATAAATATGTTGTATAAGAAAGACATCTCTATTCCATGTATAAGAAAGTCTTCATGCCTATGCTTGGATAAACAACAGCCATACATCCCCAAATATAGGCAGCAGCAGCAAAAGCAGCAAGGAGCTTGCTGAAACAACAGGCACAGCACCACCACCACCAGCAGCAGCAGGAAGGACTTGGTGTGGTAATTGCAGCAGCTACTGGGCATCTGATGGAGCAACCGCAGGAACACAGGCTAAAAATCCATACCCTGGAGGTATTGGTTCCTTACCCCCACGCCCATTGTACTCCAGAGGTATCAGCTCCCTTTCCAACCCCCCCTCTCAGTGCGCTCCTCCCTGTCCCCTCCCCAAACCCCAGGGGCTTCCGCTGCAGCCTGCCTGCCTCTCTCTTCCCTGTGGTTCCAACCCCCCCTGCCTATCTTAGGTAGTTCTATACTTGGGGTCAAAACCGCCCTCACCTCTCTCACCTTTATATTTGGGGTCTGAGCCCCCTTCACTTGGGAACAAACCCCCCTTACCAGTGTCACCTCTATCTTTGGGGTCTGATCCATCCCACCACTCTCACCTCTATACTTGGGGAACAAACCCCCTCACCCATATCATCTCTATACTTGGGGTCTGAACCCCCCTCGCTAGTCTCACGCCTCACAAACTGTGGCAGGGGCAGGGGCTGTGGCATCAGACACTCCATGCAGCATCATGATTTGCCGCCCCCGCCCATAACCAGTCCTCACACCAACCAAACCTACGTCCCACTCAACCGACCCTCGGGGTCTGAAACCCACCCTTCTCACTCAAATTCAACTCAAACTATGAAACCCCCTTTCGACTGACACACAGGGTTTCAAACACCTGCCTTCCACTCAAACTTATGTAGGGGTTTGAGTCCAATTCTTCCCCTTTTAGGCCATGAAACCCTTCACCTAAAACCTCTACACCCTTCCGGTGATGTCTAATACCCTTTCGTACCTGCCTACATACGTGGGACTTGAACCCCCCTCACATGTCTCCCTCTATGGTTGGCATCTAAAACTCCCCTCACCTGTTCTACCTCTATACTTGGGGTCTGAACACTCCTCACTTGGGAAACCAACCCTCCTCACCACTCTCCTCTTTTCTTGGGGTCTAAACCCCCCTCACCAGTCTCACCTCAATACTTGGGGCTGGACACTCCTCACGCGACTCACCTTGGTACTTTGGGATTTAAAACTCCCCTTACCCGTCTCACCTCTTTTCTTGGGATCTGAACCCCTCAACCGTCTCACCTCTATACTTGCGGAAGGGGCTGTGGCATCAGGCATTCCATGCAGCATCATCATTTGCCGCGTTCAGACCCCCTCCCTCCCTCTAATTCTCACTCTCACTCACCTTGATATAGGGACACTCGGGCCCCCTCTCACATCCCTCCACCATGCACGACCAGCCTGGTGCAAGGGCAGAGTGGCATCAGGCACTCCATGCAGCATCATCATGTGCTGCCCTGCCCCCACACACAGTCAGTCAGCCACGCCCCCATGCCCCACACAGTCCCCCTTCCCTCCTCCTCTCACCCCGCAGCAGCAGGAGAGGCATGCAGCACCGGCCCCTTAGAAGCAGCACCTGCAGTACCCATTGCGCTGAGGCGCCAAGTGAGGCAGGAGGCAAGCACACGGTAAGCCCAAGATCCAATTACCCCTCACCGGCGTGGCAAGAGCTGGCACGAGACAGAACCATTCGGCCGCAATGGTCTGCCATGGGCCCATTATGCATTAATGCGCGGGTATTGCGATTGGACACAGAGTGCTTGACACGTGTACTTGCACTGCCCCACCTAACCCCCATTGCTTAAAGTACTGAAGGCGCTGCCCCCAGAAGCCTGCACCGCATGCCATCCCCCACCACCCCGCCCCACCCACCTCCATCCCCTCCCCCACGCCTTCAGCTTACCTCACTTACCTCCGCCATGCACAGCCAAGGGATGCCGCTGCTGGGGGGAGGGAGGGGGGTGGGGGGTGTGAGGTGCTCTCCTCTGCTCCTCTTTTCTCCTACGCTCCAAGTGGGGAGAGGGGAGAGGGGAGGGGGGTGTGAGGTGCTCGCCTCTGCTCTCTTGCTCCAATGCTCCAAGGGATGGGATGCTGCAGGGGAGAAAGAGGAGGGGGGTGTGAGAAGCTCTCCTCTGCACCTCAACTTGCTCCAGTGCCCCAAGGGGTGGGAGGCTGTTGAAGGAGGCAGGGAGGAGAAAGAGGAGGGGATGTCACCATACCATACCATACCGTACCATACCTGTACCAGTACCATACCTTACCTGTACCTCGCTTACAACTTACGCCTAGCCCATCCTATAACTGCCCCCGCATATGCTGCTGCCCGGCTGCCCTGTATCTGCTGCTGCTGCTGCTGCTGCTGCTCAGCTACAGGCTCTGCTGCAATCTTGAGTGCTGCTGCCAAGTGACCTGCCCGGAGGGAGGGGTGGGCAGTGGGGGGTGGTAAGGAGGAGAGAGAATTGAGCGGAAGGAAGGGAGGGCCAACTACAAGAGAACCAGAAGTGAAGGAGCAGAAATAACAGCAGGAATAGCAGCAGCGAGGGAAGGAGCTTACCTTGAGCAGCCAAGCCCAGTACATATACTCTCCCTTGCAGCAGAATGCACTGCGCTGCAGCGATTGCACCACTACACGGCTCAGATACAGGCTCTGCTGCAGCCTTGCTCGCTGCTGCTGCCAAGTGACCTGTCGGGAGGCGGAGGGGGGAGGGGAGGAGTGGGTGGCGGGGGGTGGAGGAGGAGGAGGGGGAAGGGACAAGAGAGCCGTGAGTGCAGGGAAGGGAGCGCCAGCAAGGACAGAACCAGAAAATGAACGAGCAGGGAAGGGATTGCAACAGAAGGAAAGGGGCTTACCTAAAGGAGACGAGAATAAATTGCAGCAGGGAGGAGAGGCGATTAGCTTGAGCAGCCTGAGCAATTCCTAAGCCCCTGTTTTGCATGAAAATTTAGTGCATGGGCTCAAGATAGTCGTGGCTTGTGCTCGGATAAAAAAACTAATTGTGAAAAAGTTATGGCATCGTATGTGTTCCTTTTTCCAGTACTTGAGCATTTTCCTTCGAGACCTCAACTTGGTTATCTTGCTATTGAGCATGCTTAAACATCTTTCTATTTTCATGCATGGTTAGTGTATGGGCTCAAGAGCATGCTGGCTTGTGCTCAGATGCAAAACCCAGGTGTGTGGGAAGTTATGGTATCTCAAGCGTTGTCGCATGTCCAAGTTCTTGAGTGGTACCCCACTAAACAACAACCTGTTTTTTCATTAAGGTGCTTTGTTTACCAAAACTCCTTCCTTTTGGATACACAGCTAGTGTATGGCCTTAAGTGCATCATGGCTTGTGCTTAGATCTAAAATCCAAGTGGTTGGGAAGTTAGAGTATGTCACGTATTGACCCATGTCTAAACACTAGAGCATTGCCCAACAAAACCTCAACTCTTCATTTATTTTTTCAGACACTG